TGATGCGATTTTCTGAGGAAAGGCAGTGAAGTGAGGGGGTGACAACTCCTCTGCCTTGTGCATGTGTTCACTACTTCCTACTTATCTGTAGACAGAGTCTGATTTTCTTGAAGGAGTTCGTTCTTTGAAACTATTTGCCGTCGACCCCCTAACAATGACTTTTGGGCTATAGCTTGTGCATGAGCAGTTTGTTCTAGCGTGTTGGAGATGAGGAACCTGAGCTGTTTTGATAGGCTACCTGGGTCACATGACATGTGTCTGGTCTTTGAAGGTGTGTCTAGACTACAGGGTTTTGTCGACAAAAGTGGACTTTTGTCGACAAAACTATACCTGTGTCTACACTGCCGCCGAGTTCTGTCAACATAACCTTGACAGAACTCGGCAGTTTTGTCAACGGCGGTAAACCTCATTCTACGAGGAATAACACCTTTTGTTGACAGAGTTCTGTTGACAGAAGGTGTTATTGCATTTACACTGTCCTTTGTATCTACGCTTTCATGTCGAAAAAGCAACATGCTTTGTCGACAGAACTGGATGTAGTCTAGATGCTCTTTGTCGACAGAAGCTTTGTTGACAGTATCTTTTGACAAAGCCTCTGTCGACAAAATCCTGTAGTCTAGACGTACCCTGACTGGAGAAACACAACTGTCCTTTGTGTGATTTTATACACCTATCCAGTGGCTTCCCATGAATATTCAGCCACATTTGCTTCTCAGGATACAGCTAGACTGTGAGACTCTATTGGAAAAAGATACGGAAAATGTGCTTCACATGTTGTATATCTTTTTCCAATTCTTTTGTCAGAAGAGGCTTTTCCAATATTTGGTCTATTTAAACTAGGCCAAATTTTGGAAAAACCTCCTCTTTTGAAAGCCCCCTTCTTCCTCGTAGAATGAGGAATACAGGAGCTTCCGAAAGAGAGCTTTTGCTCTCCCGGAAAAAAAAAAAAAAGGAAGAGCAAACATGTCCCCTGGATGCTGCAGAGTTTTTCTGGGGATACCAGAAATCCCCCGCAGTCTAGCCATACCCAAAGTCACTGTTTCTGCACATGTTCCCGCCAAAAAACTTGTTTGTGTGAGCAGGATTGGAAAGAATGCTTCCCTTACAGCTGGAAAGGGGGCATGGGGGAAGGAAGAGATCCTGGGTTTGTCTATGTAAATAGAGTCTGCTCCTACTTTGCTTAGATTTGCTAGATACTCAGCTGAGGGAGTGGTGTTTTGCTTATTGTAATCAGCTTATTGTAATTTGTGACCCATCACCATCACCTGCACCATCCCTGCACTTACTACTGCTTGTATTAAGTGTGGGGGTAGTGAACTATGGTTACCAATGTTTGCAATTGTTATGAGAATACAGAAAAGCAAGACTGTGCTAAATCTGGCCCAAAGGAAGGGCTCACAGTTAGCAGAAAAAATCTTGCTAAGCAGGAACTCAACTCTTAGAGCTGCCTGAGAGTAAGGAAGATACGGACAGGCATTCTGGTTAGGAGATGATATTCCCTGCATGGATTGGTTTGACCCCCTTCTGTGTTCCAAGTATACACCTAAATGGGCTTCATTAGGAACCTCTTTCTTATGTGACTTGTGGGAGAGCTGTGTTTCTTCCACCCTGTTTGCTAAGAGTTAAAAGCCCTGGGCGCTGAAATCACTTGAGACGGATGTCACAGTTGAGTGGCAGATGGCAGCAGGGGGTGACTGACAGCCAGTGGGTGGTAATAGAGTGAGTGGTCCTGGCGGCAGAGACCAGCAAGCAGGCGAATGGCGAGTGACCCGCAGAATGTGTAAGATGTCTCCTTACGCACACCCACCCCCAGGATGAGAGAGGAACTCTGCAGATGCCTCTCTGTAAAAGGGTTTTCCAAGGAGGAGAGAGAATAATTGTTCTCCTTGACCTCTGAGGATAGGACAAGAAGCAATGGGCTTAAACTGCAGCAAGGGAGGTTTAGGTTGGTCATTAGGAAAAACTTCCTCACTGTCAAGGTGGTGAAACACTGGAATAAATTGCCTAGGGGGGATGTGGAATCTCCATCACTGGAGATATTTAAGAGCAGGTTGGACAGACACCTGTCAGGGATGGTCTACAGCAGGGCTACTCAACTTTGGAAGCTCTGGGGGCCACAGTGATCTCAGCTGAGGGAGTGGTGTTTTGCTTATTGTAATCAGCTTAATTTGTGACCCAGCACCATCACCTGCACCATCCCTGCACTTACTACTGCTTGTATTAAGTGTGGGGGTAGTGAACTATGGTTACCAATGTTTGCAATTGTTATGGGAATACAGAAAAGCAAGACTGTGCTAAATCTGGCCCAAAGGAAGGGGCTCACAGTTAGCAGAAAAAATCTTGCTAAGCAGGAACTCAACTCTTAGAGCTGCCTGAGAGTAAGGAAGATACGGACAGGCATTCTGGTTAGGAGATGATATTCCCTGCATGGATTGGTTTGACCCCCTTCTGTGTTCCAAGTATACACCTAAATGGGCTTCATTAGGAACCTCTTTCTTATGTGACTTGTGGGAGAGCTGTGTTTCTTCCACCCTGTTTGCTAAGAGTTAAAAGCCCTGGGCGCTGAAATCACTTGAGACGGATGTCACAGTTGAGTGGCAGATGGCAGCAGGGGGTGACTGACAGCCAGTGGGTGGTAATAGAGTGAGTGGTCCTGGCGGCAGAGACCAGCAAGCAGGCGAATGGCGAGTGACCCGCAGAATGTGTAAGATGTCTCCTTACGCACACCCACCCCCAGGATGAGAGAGGAACTCTGCAGATGCCTCTCTGTAAAAGGGTTTTCCAAGGAGGAGAGAGAATAATTGTTCTCCTTGACCTCTGAGGATAGGACAAGAAGCAATGGGCTTAAACTGCAGCAAGGGAGGTTTAGGTTGGTCATTAGGAAAAACTTCCTCACTGTCAAGGTGGTGAAACACTGGAATAAATTGCCTAGGGGGGATGTGGAATCTCCATCACTGGAGATATTTAAGAGCAGGTTGGACAGACACCTGTCAGGGATGGTCTACAGCAGGGCTACTCAACTTTGGAAGCTCTGGGGGCCACAGTGATACTCACAGCACATACCGAGGGCTGCAACTTAAGTGTGGTTGCGTATACATGCAACTACCTTTTTTCACACTGACGGGCATGAACACAGAGCACTTCCCACAATGCCCCGGTGCCCCCAGCATCTCCTCCCTGAGGACTAGAAATGCCGACACCCTGTACCCATCTGTTCCAGCCAGCCCGTCCGCTTGCGTCTTTCAATGCTCACCCTGCCTGGGAGATGCCTCGCCGTTGAGTAACCCTGGTCTAGATGGTGTTTGGTCCTGCCATGAGGGCAGGGGACTGGACTCGATGACCTCGCGAGGTCCCTTCCAGTCCTAGTGTTCTGTGATTCTATCAACTCCGGGTCTGCCCTGACCAAGGGCAGTGACCGAGAAGGGTTGGGCATGGCCAGGGGACATTTACATTGCTGGACTTAAGAACCTGAGAGGAACAGCACATTGCCCCAACATACTCGGGGTGGGACTTTGGCTCCTGGTTTCTGTGTGTGAGCCCTGTTTGTGGTGCTTGTCCTAAATGAATTTCCTGCTTGTATTAAAAGTTTCTTTTCTACTTTCAGACTCCACACTTGCGAGCAGGGAAGCGTTGCCTCTCAAGGGCACCCTAGGGCGATGTGTGAATTTCCCAGGTTACTGGGTGAGGGCTCAAGCAGGGCACCCTAGGGCAATGTGTGAGTTTCCCAGGTTACTGGGTGAGGGCTCAAGCTGGTTCTGTGCTGGATGAATAGAGAGAAACCCCTAGAGATTGAACCTGGTGTTGGCTGCTGCTTGGCTCTGCCTGGCAGAAGGTTTACATTTGCTAAAATAATATTGTAAAGTGAAAGCCGAAGAGTCATGAACATGGAGAATTCATTTTCAAATCCACGTGAATATCAGCAGATAACTTTTTCAGGGTTCATCTCGCTCAGCTACTGGATCTCAGGGCATGGAAAGTCCATGAGCCATCCAGAAGGTCCCATAAAGCGGAGCTTCTCGCACTTTTTTTGGCCCACGGCCCGCTTTGCTCAACGCAAACCTTTCCATGGACCACTAGCCAACCACTCAGGATGACAAAATGGGTGTAGGAAGAGGTGAGGGGGCGAGGTCTGGGTGTGAGGTGAGGTGCAGGAGAGGCGTGGAGATGGAGGTGGGGTCTGGCTGGGAGGGAAGGTGCAGGTGGGGGTCTGGCTGGGAGGGGTGTGTGTGAGGATGGTAGTGGGGTCTGGGCATGAGGGGGATGGGGTGCCCTTACCTGGCTCCACACCCCTTGTTGCTCCCAGGTGCCACCCCACACTGCTCCCATTGGCCACGATTCCAGCCAATGAGAGCAGTAGGGAAAACCTCTGGATGAGCAGTTTCCTGTGCTGCTGTCCCCTCCCCCCTCTGCCCACACAGCAGGAAGCTGGTGGTGTCACTTCAACCTCACAGAGGAGAGAGACGGGGCTGGAGTAGAGGCATGGGGCCAAGCTCCAACCCCAAGGCCCACCTGCAAGACAGTCATGGCCCACTTGTGGTCCGCGAACCACACTTTGCGATCCACCACCATACAATGACCTCTCTACCCCGGTTTCCGCATTGGTTCCCATCACCCTAGTGTTGGCTCTTGTTCCAGAATGTGGGTGTGTGTGCTCAGGTTAGGGTCCTTTGTTATTTGTGCTGTAGCAGTGCCCGGGAGCCCCACAATGGCCTAGCACCCTGTTGTGTTAGGTGCTGTACAAACACAGAACAAAAGGACAGTCCCTAATCCGCAGGCCTCACCATCGAAGCATCCGACAGAGGAGACAGGTAGATGCTGAAGAGAAGAGGATGCAAATTACTGAGTTGCTCCTTCAGTGTCTGTCTTAAATGATCAATTCATAGATCCCAAGGCCAGAAGAACCATGTCGTCTGACCTCCCGCCCAGCACAGGCCCTGCCCCCAGATTATTCCCAGAGCAGACCTTCTAGAATGAAACCCCCAGTCTTGATATTAAAATGGTCAGCGATGGACAATCCACCTCAGGATCCGTCTGCGTATCTGTTTGGTCCTCACTCCATAGACAATGGGATTCAGTAGGGGTGGCACCAAGAGATAGATGTCCCCCATGATAGCGTGAACCACCCGAGGGAGGTCTTTCCCAAACCTGTGCACCACGGACAGCCCAATGAGTGGCACGTAGAAAGCCAGAACCACACAGAGATGGGCCACGCAGGTGCTGAAAGCCTTGGCCCGCTCCCGCCTGGAGGACAGACGCAAGACAGCCTTGATGATCAGGAAGTAGGAGAAGGCAATGAGCAGCGAGTCGAGCCCCATCACCACGACAATCGCAGTCAAGCCGTAGATGACGTTGACCGTGGTGCTGACGCAGGCTAGGTTCATGACGTCCTGGTGCACACAGTAAGCATGCGAGAGGACGTTGGAGCCGCAGAACATTAGGCGAAGGATGAGCAAGGGCAACGGGAGGAAGAACAGTACCCCCCTGACCACGGCGGCCAGGCATATCTTGGCCGTCACCGGATTGGTAAGGACAGCAGCATGCCGCAGAGGTTGGCAGATGGCCATGTACCGATCCAAGGCCATGGCCAGCAGGACGGTGGACTCGGCCGCGGACAGGGAGTGGATGAAGAACATCTGGAGCAGGCAGGTGCCGAAGCTGATTTCCCTTGAGTCCAACCAAAGGAGCAGGAGCAGCCGGGGCATGGTTGAGGTGGACAACAGCAGGTCGATGGCAGCCAGCATGCAGAGGAAGAAATACATGGGGGCATGGAGGCTCGGCTCTGTCCTTACAATGAAGACCACCGCGCTGTTACCGACAACACCCAGGAGGTACGCAGCGCACAGAGGGAATGCCAACCAGAAACGGGCAGCTTCCGGCCCCAGTGTGCTGGCCAGGATGAAAGTGGAAGGGCGGAAGCTGGTGTGGTTGGGAGAGGACATGGTGCGCAGGCGGAAACTCAGGGATGCTATTCCATATCTTTTCCTCCTCCTGCAAGGAACAGAGACACAGCTTTGTAGCCACACCTGGGCAGGGCTACTGCATCTGAAAGGATTACAGCAAGTAGGTGCCACTAACAATCAACTAGCTGGCCAGTGCTGGTCAGCACGGCTCCTTTCCTGGAGCAGAACACCACAAAGTCCTCCCTGCCAGGACCCACCATAGGCCGTATTTCCCTCCTCTGGCCTCTGGCAGGCTAGGGGTAGCCCAGAAATTGTCTGGATCGGGCCCATCTGCTCAGACACTGAGCCCCGGGTCTGCTCAAAGGGACCGGCTCCCCTGTGACAGAGAGAGGCCTGAATCCTGAGTCCTTGGCTCCCTGACTAAAAAGGGGCAGGGGCGTTGTAGTCCCACCTAATGTCACAGACACCCCAAAGGAGGCTGGGATAGGTGTGTGCCTTGACCTTCTTCCGGCCCAATGGAGAGGGCTGTGGAGGAGGGGGAGGGGAAGGCAGGGTGGCGGGGACCAACCACATGCAGTGCCCATTGCAGAATGTGTCAATGGCTTCGCTGGCTCTGCTGCCCGGGAGTGTGGGGCGGCATTCCCTTGGCCTTGGTCCTGCTCCTCCAGTCGCTGCTGCCCATGCTGAGACTCTACAGTGCTAGTGTGTAATCTGCAGCCCCTACTCCAAGCACCTGAAGACCATTAGGAACGTGGCTCGGCTGCAGGATGTTGCTTTTACTTCCTAGACTGGGATGACAAAATGGGAATTTCCGGCAATATTTTTATGACCCTGAATGGTGCCTCAGTTTACCCTATATGTTTCATTATTTCCCTCTGGGAGAAAAAGGGATTACATTTAGGGTGTCTCTAGACTACAGGGTTTTGTCGACAAAACTATACCTGCGTCTACACTGCCGCTGAGTTCTGTTGACATAACGTCGACAGAACTCAGCAGTTTTGTCGACAGCAGTAAACCTCATTCTACGAGGAATAACGCCTTTTGTCGACAGAGTTCTGTCGACAGAAGGCGTTATTGCATCTACACGGTCCTTTGCGTCTACACTGTCATGTCAACAAGGCGGCTTGCTTTGTTGACAGAACTGGATGTAGTCTAGACGCTCTTTGTCGACAGAAGCTTTGTTGACAGTATCTGTCGACAAAACTTCTATTGACAAAAGCCTGTAGTCTAGATGTACCCTTAATCTCAGGGCAGAGTAGGAGACATAGGAGTGAACGTCAACCGCTTGTGTGAGCTGAGATGGGTCCCTGTAGATTCCCACGCCTGTGCTGCTTTGTTTAGTTGACAAATTTAGGGTGTCATCCCCCAGTAGGGTGTCAGTAGGGGAGGTTTTGGAACAAACATAAATTAACAGGAATAAGTCACCAGGACAAGATGAAATTCACCCAAGAGTTCTGAAGGAACTCAAATACCAAATTGCAGTACCACTAACTGTGGGATGTAACCCAACACTTAAATCAGCCTCTGTACCGGATGCTTGCAAGATAGTTAATGTAACATGGATTTTTGAAAAGGCAACAGAGGTGACCCTGGCACTTACCGGCCAATAAGCCTAACTCCAGTACCAGGCAAATTGGTTGAAACTCTAGTAAAGAACAGAATTATCAAACGTGTAGATGACCAAAGGTGACACGGAGTCCTGTAGCACCTTATAGGCTAACAGGTGTATTGGAGCATAAGATTTCGTGGGCAAAGACCCACTTCGTCAGATGCACTGCTTTTGCAGATCCAGACTAACACGGCTACCCCTCTGATACGTGTAGATTACCATGATTTGTTGAGGAAGAGTCAACCGGGTTTTTGTAAAGGGAAATCCTACCTCAACAGTCTATTAGAAGTCTTAGAGGGAATCAGCAAACATGCAGAAGGCTGATCCGGAGGATATAGGGTACTTGGACTGTCAGAACGTCTTTGAAAAGGTCTCACGAAAGGCGTGTAAGCAAAGTAAGTTGTCACGGGGTAAGAATCATAGAATCACAGAATACTAGAACTGGAAGGGACCTTGAGAGGTCATCGAGTCCAGTCCCCTGCCCTCATGGCAGGACCAAATACTGTCTAGACCATCCCTGATAGACATTTATCTAACCTGCTCTTAAATATCTCCAGAGATGGAGATTCCACAACCTCCCTGGGCAATTTATTCCAGTGTCTGACTACCCTGACATTTAGGAACTTTTTCCTAATGTCCAACCTAAACCTCCCTTGCTGCAGTTTAAGCCCATTGCTTCTTGTTCCATCCTTAGAGGCCAAGATGAACAAGTTTTCTCCCTCCTCCTTATGACACCCTTTTAGATATCTGAAAACGGCTATCATGTCCCCCCTCAATATTCTCTTTTCTAAACTAAACAAACCCAATTTTTTCAGCCTTCCTTCATAGGTCATGTTCTATAGACCTTTAATCATTCTTGTTGCTCTTCTCTGGACCCTCTCCAATTTCTCTTCATCCTTCTTGAAATCATAGAATCATAGAATCATAGAATAATAGGACTGGAAGGGACCTCAAGAGGTCATCGAGTCCAGCCCCCCGCCCTCAAGGCAGGACCAAGCTCTACCTACACCATCCCTGACAGATGTCTATCTAACCTGTTCTTAAATATCTCCAGAGAGGGAGATTCCACCACCTCCCTTGGCAATTTATTCCAATATTTGACCACCCTGACAGTTAGGAATTTTTTCCTAATGTCCAATCTAAACCTCCCCTGCTGCACTTTAAGCCCATTACTCCTTGTCCTGTCCTCAGAAACCAAGAGAAACAAATTTTCTCCTTCCTCCTTGTGACACCCTTTTAGATATTTGAAAACCACTATCATGTCCCCCCTTAATCTTCGTTTTTCCAAACTAAACAAGCCCAGTTCACGAAGCCTGGCTTCATAGGTCATGTTCTCTAAACCTTTAATCATTCTTGTCACTCTTCTCTGTACCCTTTCCAATTTCTCCACATCTTTCTTGAAATGTGGCGCCCAGAACTGGACACAGTACTCCAGCTGAGGCCTAACTAGTGCAGAGTAGAGCGGCAGAATGACTTCACGAGTTTTGCTTACAACACACCTGTTAATACAACCTAGAATCATATTTGCTTTTTTGGCAACAGCATCACACTGTTGACTCATATTCAACTTGTGGTCCACTATGACCCCTAGATCCCTTTCCGCCATGCTCCTTCCTAGACAGTCGCTTCCCATCTTGTATGTATGGAACTGATTGTTCCTTCCTAAGTGGAGCACTCTGCATTTCTCCTTATTAAACCTCATCCTGTTTACCTCTGACCATTTCTCTAACTTGCTAAGGTCATTCTGAATTATGTCCCTATCCTCCAAAGAAGTTGCAACCCCACCCAGTTTGGTATCATCTGCAAACTTAATAAGAGTACTCTCTATCCCAATATCTACATCATTGATGAAGATATTGAACAGTACGGGTCCCAAAACAGACCCTTGAGGAACTCCACTTGTTATCCCTTTCCAGCAGGATTTAGAACCGTTAACAACAACTCTCTGACTACGGTTATCCAGCCAATTATGCACCCACCTTATCGTGGCCCTATCTAAGTTATATTTGCCTAGTTTATCAATAAGAATATCATGCGAGACCGTATCAAATGCCTTACTAAAGTCTAGGTATATGACATCCACCGCTTCTCCCTTATCCACAAGGCTCGTTATGGATTAGAGACTGGTTAAAAGATAGGAAACAAAGGCATAAATAGTCACATTTCAGAAGGGAGAGAGGTACATTGTGGTGGCCTCAGAGATTTGTATTGATGTTCAGCATATTCACCAATCAGGAAAAAGGGGCAAACAGCGATGTGGCAAAATTTGCAGATGAGACAAAATTACTCACAGTAGCTCTACCCAAAGCAGACTGAAAAGAGTTACAAAGAGTTACAGCAAAATGACAGGTGAAATTCAATGCTGATAAATACAAAACAATGCGCATTGGAAACCATAATCCTAACTATACGTACAAAATGATGGGGTCTCAGTTAATGGTTATCACTCATAAAATCATAGAGCTGGAAGAAACCTCATGGGGTCATCGAGTCCAGCCCCCAAGTCCAGTATTCAAGAGAGAGATCTTGGAGTCACCGTGGCTACTTCTCTGAAAACATCCACTCGGTGTGCAGCGGTGGCCAAAGAAGCAAATGGAATGTTTGGAGCCATGAGGAAAGGGATCAATAATAAGACGGAAAATGACATAGTGCCACTGTGTGCCTTCCCCTTGAATAAGGCCTAACTTATCAGGAAAGAGCTCTTCGTGCCATTGTGACTAGTCCTCTGAAAACATAGGAAAGGGATAGATCAGACAGAAAAGTATCATAATGCTTCTACCTACATCCATTGTATGTCCTCACCTTGAATACCGTGTGAAATTCTGGTCACCCTAGTATAGAACAAAGGCCCAGAGAGGTGCGAGGTGGGGATAAGAACTGGCTGCAGCAAGGAGTTGAGGTTTTTCTTGAGGAATTGACCGAGGAACTCAGACAGAGAGAGAAACAGCCTGAATATGGAGTCATAGACTAGAATCATAGAATCATGGAGCTGGAAGAGACGTCAGGAGTCATCAAGTGCAATCCCCTGTCCAAAGCAGGACCAACTCCAATTCAATCATCCCAGCCAGGGGTTTGTCAAGCCGGGACTTAAAAACGTCACTACAGCTTAGCAGGGTGTTGGGTAACCAGAATAGAACTGAACTAAGCTTTAACCTCTGTGCTAGCATCAAGACTTCTTAGGCGGTGCCCAGTGGACTTATCAATCAGACTGCTTTAACAACACGGCTTGAGTGCCCCTGCGAACGCACGGGGAGGTGCATTGGCCCCCGAGGAGAGAACAAGGATCAGTCAGGAGTCTAGCTCAGTGGGACTTGTTGAACAACGCCCCTGGTGGGAAGGACCAGGGCTGGAATCTTAGAGGTTCAGTCTAAGGAAACGGTGAGGTTGTGTAGACCAGTCCTGGAGAAAGCATGAGACTCTTTAGGGGCCA